AGAGGTCTTCGGTCCGATCAAGATCGGCCGTGTTCGCCCCCGCCGCCATTTCCGTCTCCTCCCCCGACTCGTCGCCGGGCACCTCTATGACCTCGTGTTTCGTGGCGGCGGCGGCGGCGCCGACTTGCACCCCACTGCCGTCGCTCTCGGGCAGCCCGAACGCCACGTCGATCACCTCCACGTCGTCATCGTCGGCGACGTCGACGGTGGCCACCGGCGGCGTGAGCGTCTTCACGCTAGAGATGGCCAGTGTGGCGCCCGGGCTGTGGCGCACCGCCGCGCGACCATGACCGTGATCGTGACTGTGACTACGGCCGCGGCCGCGCCGCGTCCCTGCGCCGGCCGAGGGCCGCGGCGGCGTCGGCGGCAGCGGCGGCAGGGGCAGCCGGGGCAGTGGCAGGCGTGGCGCCGGCGGCCGCGGCGCGGACGCCGTCGGCTGCTGGCCGTTGGAGTTGACTACTACCAGTGGCAGGCTGGGCTGAAGGCCGCCCACCTGCGTGACGGTCGGCTGCGATGGCATGAGTAGCAGCTGACCGCCGGACGTGGGCACCAGCTGGAACTGAGAGGCTGGCGAGCCGACGGAGGGTGCACTGGGGGCCAGCAGCGGCGCGCCAGCATTAGCCTGGATCAGCCGGTACGGCGCGGTGCCCGGCGACGCTGTCTGGCCCGGCCCGGACGTGGTTACCAACTGGAATTGCGAACCGTGCGGCGCCACGCGGCCGCCGGCCGATGGCATCAGCTGAATCACGCCGTTGGTGCCGGCGCCGGCCAGCGACAGCTGCTGCGGCGCGTTTCCTGGCACCACCTGGAACGTCTGGGTGGGCTGGACGCCGACGGTGGTTCCGCCGGCCGGCACAATCTGGAAGCGCGACTGCGAACCGGCTCCGGCAGATGTCACAAGCTGGTTGAGTACGGTGGCGGCGGGCGCGGCAGCCGCCGCCGCCGGCACGCTCGTCCAGCGTTGCTGTGGTTGCGGCTGTGGCTGCGGCTGCGATTGCGGCTGTGGCTGCGGCAGCGGCAGTGGCGGCGGCGCGGCCGGCGCGATCGGCTTGTAGCGCTGGGATGCACCATCACCGGTCGTCTTGCGCGAGTAAGTGCGCACGAGCCGCGGGTCCGAGTCCTTTTCGCGCAGCAGCTCGGTGGGCACGGGCACCGGCGACTCCTTGCGCTCCGGCAGCTTGCAGTTGGGCAGCGGGAAGGCGAGCTGCGGCTGTGAGAAGTGCCGGGCGCACACGGCCAGCAGCGGCGCCGAGGTGGCCGTCAGCTTGAAGTTGACCCGGCCGTAGAGCGCCTGCCACCAGCGCACGCGGTCGTGCACGCGCGAGATGGGCGGGAAGCGGAACAGGTGCGCCGCCTCCACCATGTTGGAGCACCCGATTACATCGCAGACGGCGACACGCATCGCTGAGGGCGTCGGAGGCCGGGGTTAGTTCGGCTGGTTTGGTGACGGCCCAGGGTGGCCAGCAGCGAGCTGAGGTGCCACATGGCCACCCAGCACAAGGCAGCAGCGACCAAGGGTGGCCACCAGCGAGCTGGAGCGCCACCTGGCCACCCAGCACAAGGCAGCAGCGGCGCGAGGACATGACCCAAGGGCGTGGGAGCTGACAGAACGGATGACCTGTGGCGGCTTATTTGGCCAGGGACCAATGTGTGAGGTGGGCGCCGGTGTTGGCAACAGCGGAAGGCCCGTATATTGTTTCTAGGTCCATACAGACGGATCTTGCGACACAGTGGTCTGACGGTTTCATCCCAAGTGTTGGCAAATCAGTAGAGATTGACCCAAATGCTGAGACGTTCACATCGTTCCGACACCGACAGAGTGACACATTCAAAACAGGGACAAAGGAAACAGTCAAATCCAACATATTGAATGGCCAACAAGTCAGCATCCCATCACTAAGTTAACCTCCTCACATGATTTTAGAGGTGTGCTGAATTGCCAGCTCACCACAAATAAACACAACTATCATCTCCAACTTGCAGTTAAATAACTGTGGTGCTGTAAGTGAACTGTAACAGCTAATTAGCTACCATCCATAGTCACATGGTCTACAAATGAGGTCAGAACACTTCAATGCCATATGGAATTTTTGGTACCTCAGATAATCATCAGGCACTGCCAGTGCCACAGCTGGGTCCAGGACAACCATCCACCAGGACATCATATGAGCATAAGCATTGCTTTAAAGGTGCAGCCCTAAGACAGATTAAACCTTAGAACCTGACAAACAGTGCTTACTTTCACATCATTCTCTTAGATTCATCAAACCCTCTTGAGATATATGCTCTTTTCAGACACACATTGTCAAACAAGTAAGAGTGAAAAAATCAAATCCTCTCTATACTAAATGCAGTGCTCCTACTCTTAAATGAACTACACATAATGATTTAACTCCACCCCAGCTTTCATGCTCACATGCCTGATTAATATCACATCAGCATGTCTACACCTTCATGCAGCCACACAGGACGTGTAATCCCAGGGATGGCACATAGTTTACAAAAACCCTGTACTAATAGGAATACTATGCATAATGTACATAGATATGCAGTGGCAAATAATGTACATAGATATGCAGTGGCAAACACATTATAAAACAAGACCAGAAACCTATCTATTTGATAAAGTCTATCCATCTCTAATCCATGATTAAATTAAAGTTAAGCCTGTCCTGATAATACCAATGACAAAATCTATCCTGATAGCAGTTGGTTAGAGCACCTGCATTCTAATTCACCCATCTGTGGCAGTGTGGGTTCAAGTCTCTAAATTTAGTTGCTCAGTATTTGCCTTGACTGGGATGGCCTGCACATGATGGCAAAGGCAGCACTAAAGGTCTGGGAAAGATAAAGGTCAGTACAGACCATGTCAAATATTACAGCACAGAAAACTTTTGCCACCCAATTCTATTTGGCTGCAATGTCTTGATCTGAGGGAAGGGTCTGGGCTCATGCAACACACACTGCTCAGGGCAGATTGATACCAGACAAGCATCCATTCAAAAGGCTCAGACTCAATATTTAAAAAGCTTCTGCATGCCAAACATCATTGGGGTAATGCAAAAATGAAGGCAATGAAGGGTGAAATAGATGAAAAAGTCATATGTACAACATCCTGGCTCAATTTGGATGGTGTATGGATGTGATCACATCTGGTTCACCAAATGGGATTTCATTCCATTCCCCATTGCATGTCATGGAACATTGCAAAATGTTTGAACATGTGACATAACAAATCAGAGTATTGCATGTCTCATTTATCTAGCTCGTCCATAACATGCTGGCTCTAGCTTAGTATAAATCACAAGATCATTTTGTTGGCTTCAAATGAATTGCATGTGGTCTCTTTGATACTGAATTCAAGTTCTCTTCTCTGCATAACAATACAGGCAGAATGGACATGATGTCTATCATTGACAGGGGATTACACTAAAGCTGGGCTGATCAACAGATCAATGACAGGAACTTTCAAAGTAGCTGCCTACTGGGCTGGACAAACCTCCTACCAGATAGAAAATATCACATGGGAAACACCAAACAGCACCAATTAACTTCCTTTCAGATGGTCACTTCATATATACCATAGGATCAGGCAATGAAATGCTCCTATTAAGTCTATGTTGATATGTCATGGCAATGCAGGTTTATGTCACCTGAACATAATAGCATGTCCTGTAGTATTAATCATTCCATGAAGGCTTCTAATTCTCTGTAATTTTCCATGATAACCTCATAACATTATTGACACATTACTGATTGCTATTTAGTAACACCTCCATATGTGAAGTCAAGGACCATAAAGTTTCAGCCATCTAGTGACTGCAGCCCAGTTGAGGTGGCTGAACAGATTGATCAACTCTCCTATGCTGCTGACCTGCCAGGTCAGGATCCTCCCCTAGGGAGGGGGGGGGGAGGGGATTTGCCAGTGCTTATGCCAGGATAAATAATCTCCTCAGGTGCAGCCTGTGCATTCAGTGTTTGGATATAAGATTTCCTGAAAGATAAAAATGCTTATTAAAATAAAAACATTTTGAGCACATCAGGTCAATATTTTGAAGAGTGGCATAGCAGTATTCCCACATAATTGCTCTAAATTGAGCACACAATCACATTTTTTGATGGTCAATGTCATGCAATGCTAAGACAACAGTGCATATACCTACCTCTTCCTGCAAGTCTAACTGAAAGCAAGCAGGCATCTAGGAAGTGTAGCTATAGGCCCTGCGGCAAGGGTACCCATGGCCCAATAAAAACCGCAAAGCAGGCAAAACAAGAGTGCTGCCAGCAGCTTCACCAGTACCTGACGAATCAATGCGATCAACTGCTTATTATCACACTTAAGCCACTGCTTGTCTAAATCCCGTCGTTCTACTCACCCATGCCCTATCCCCCAAGACAACGGCCTCCTCACGTCGTTCCTAGATCAAGACAACTCTCCTGTTTGAGGAATCGTTCCTAAATGGACTGATCGCGCTCCCTTTGCAGGGAGCCGATTCGGTTGGCGTCAAACAGCTGAACGTGTCTTCAACAACCACTTAAAATACTACTATGTCATACAGCTTCATGCTTGTGATGTGATTGTGATTCGTTCCTCTATTTTGAATACGCAGCGGAACACCCGTTAACTGATATTCTGGCTTCATTGCACCTCATCATCGCCTTTCTTTCATGAACCGTTTAAACCAATTATTTGTTAGTTGCTTCGACCAGTGTTATCAAGTTTAGCAAGAAAAAGTCCAAAAAAGAGGCATAGAAAGGCAACATACAGGTGCCTCACTCTACTAAGGAAGTTTAAAAGAAGTGTCAGTTTAAATGTCTGCAAAATGTAGGGTTTATTGGGCATTGCGGACGTCCTTCGCCTGATACAATTCCAGTAATATAGGATGGTGTATCATGTTGTTATTTACCGACACCTTCCGAAGGAAAATCACGCGGCAACTGTGGCGGCCAAGGTACCAAAGTGGCGGCAACTATGAGGCAACATTCACAATGGAAAGGATGTTTTGGGTGGGGAAAGGCCGTGGGGCTTGGCACGAAGGTGGTCCAGATGTCTTGTTTACGAGTTGGTGTGTTTGAGATGTGTGATCGACTCTGGATTGGAGTCAGCTCTAGAATCGGTCTATTTTGTATGTCTTTGACATATGACAGTAATTGGAGTCAAGCTCTAGAATCGGTCTATTTTGTATGTCTTTGACATATGACAGTAATTGGAGTCAGCTCTAGAATCGGTCTATTTTGTATGTCTTTGACATATGACAGTAATTGGAGTCAGCTCTAGAATCGGTCTATTTCTTATGTCTTAAATGGAGCTGAGCTTAATAAACATTTGCCTGGTTGTTTTTGCTCATTGGGTGGCTGGGCCTTTGTTTTTTGGGGGTATAGGGGGCTATCCACAATCTGGCCTGCATTCATAAGTTAAGATGGGAAGGGAAATTATTGTGCTCAGCTGGATCCCTCTCCATGTTATCAGATATTTTTCCCCAACTGACAGGTGCTGTAGCCACATCTCATTATTTGTTGTTTGACATGAGAATTTAACAAAGCTGCATGCATTCAAGGAAAGGTTTGAATTTAATGGTAATTTAGGTCAGTAACATAGCCAATAGAGGCTGGTATGATTTGGCCAGGCCTAAGCTGGGTCAGGCCAAAGTATATAAAATTCTCAAATTGTATGTGTGAGAGGTTGCCTTAGTGTTTTTGCCTGAGAATGGCTTCATATCATCAAAACTCCCTGAAACAGTGACTCCATGCATTATAATTAGTGTTGATTATGCAACACATTATATTTGGCACAACATGTGTTTTGTGCAGCCTGGTCTCCATCATCTGGAGGTTGCACAAACTTGCAACTAAACTCTGAGTGCCTTTTGTCATTTAAGATACCTAGTAAAATACCTATTAAGATACTTATAGAGCTTCTCAAAAATAAAAATGGGTATTCAGAGTATCATAGTTATGCCCTGGGACTAGCCAGATCCTCTGAATAAAAATGTAAGGCCCCTGTTGGGATGAAGTGTGACCCTCTCAGCTGAAATGATCTCATTTCCTTAATTTGAACCTATCCTGAGGATATGATAGCTACGTCATTGGCTTTGGTTAATCCATTATTGGGATAGATCATATCAGCAGGATTTACCCCACTCAAAGTTAGTCTTAATGACATGGTTGCATCCGTAACATTACCTGAAGTTAACTTTGGTCTAGCATTTCCAAGTCCTTGAGCTGAGTGGCAAACCAGACAAGTCACTGAAAGATTTTATGTTTTTGCCTGAGTGTCATGCTTTTAGTGCAGCTTGCACATTTGTCCGTCTAAAGCTGTGTGCTAATGATTTGGACATTTCATTTGGCGGGAGCTTGTGGGCTGTTTTTACAGGGACAATGTTACATGCTCAGCGTTTTGTTATCAGGGCTGTTTTGAATGCATTCTTACATGTCTGCTTTACTTTTTGACTGCTGTCACATGACCAAACCAGGTCCTCTTATGCTTGCAGGTTTGGACTCATCAACAAGGAGTGAAGACTTCATTTGTACTACCTTGAGCACACACCTGGTAAGGTATTTGTAGATGTAATGGGCCACGGACAAAGCCAGCATCGGCAGGGAGCCTCTGCGGCTGCCCAAGTGACTGCTCCACCACCGGACCTGACCCCGTCATTCATCATCAAGCTGAAGGATGTCCTACTGGCTCGCTCAGAGACGGAGGACGGTATAAGCCGCCACGTCTTCACCTCCGCCTTCCTCAACAAGAACCCCACGATCGCGAATGTCATGTTTGACCACTTCTTGCGGCTTTCGGCGGCGAGCGGTGACGTTCTCGCGCCGCGCGACTTCGTGGAGCGCTGCGTGGAGGTGTACCAGCTTATCTCGGACCACGACCAGGCACAGTTCTACCTGCGCACGTTCGCCGACGAGCACGACAGCGTAAGTGCGGAGAATCTGCGCAGCATGATCCTGCAGGCGTTCGAGGCGGCCATGTGGGCACACCCGGACACGGTGATTCGCTCACTCAACATCGACACCATCCTGGCGGGCGTGGCCGACTCGTGCCTGCACGGCCGCGACGAGGTGGGCGTCACGTTCGCGCGCAACTGGGTGGAGCGACACTGTCCCCGTCTGGTGCGCTGGCTGCACCAGTACGTGGTGCACCGAATCACCGAAGGCCACGCGCTGATCGCGGCGCGGCCGGCCGAGCCGGAGCCGGAGGAGCCAGCCGGCGGCAGCTGCGTGCTGGAGAGCGCGTCGGCCTCGAGCGAGGCGACGCTGCACCCGGCGCTTCTGTGGCTGCTGATGTGCGCGCTGCCGGAGCGCTACACGCGGCCGTCGTCGGCCGAGAGCCTGGCGTCGCTGCCGGCGCTGGCGCGGCTCGACCCGGGCCACTCGATTGGCCGGCTGGTGCGCGCCGTCACGCCCAAACACTGGGTGTCGCTGTACAGCTCGGACGAGCAGGGCCTCAGCGCCAACCGGCTGCAGCACCACGTGCTCGGCTACCGCGGTCCGACGCTGATGCTGCTGCGCGCCGAGGAGGGTCGGCTGTTCTGCGTGGCGGCCGACTGCGGCTGGCGCGACTCGCCCCACTGCTGGGGCGGCGTCGACTGCATGGCGCTGCAGCTGCTGCCGCGCTTCCAGGTGCTGGTCGGCGGCCAGCCGGACGTCATGTTCTACAACTACTCGGCGCGCGGCCTGCCGTCGGGCCTGCGCGTCGGCGCTGACCGCCGGACGCCTGCCATCGAGGTGGACCGCGAGATGAGCGTGTGCACGCACAGCGGCGCGCCGTTCCGCCTGCAGGGCGTCGAGGTGTGGGGCTGTGGTGCCAAGGCGGACCGCGACAGCCAGATCAGCTCGCAGAAGCGCGACCGCGCCGCCGTCGAGCAGCGGCGCAAGGTCAACATCATGGCCGATACCGACTGGGCGGAGAACCCCGACCGCTACCTGCTCGAAATGTCCGGCACCCGCCAGAGCTACAACTACAACTGAGGCGCGCCTGCACCGCCCCACTCGCTCTGCATGCTGGCGGTGCTGGTGCGGCGCTTGTGATGACGCGTGATATATTTTTGTCGCCATCCGTCGCGGTGCTGGTTGGTTCACCGTTATTGAGATCCTAGAGCGCTGACCGAGCGCGGCGAATGACGTACGGTCGCTCACGCCAATGTGCATGTATTCCAGTGCGCTATGCATATTCCATGTAAAACAGAGGTAAAGATCTGGAAAGGCCCCCAAGCCTGGCTATGTACATGCCATATTTGTTACGTCTGCCCGCTGGGCGTAGCTATGTTAGTGACTTTCACACACGCTGGCGTAACACTTACATTCGGTTATGTGCGTTGGGCGACAGCGAGCTTCGTTCTACGACAAAGAGGACAGTCGCCAGTTCTTCTTAGAGTTCCTCAGAGTTTAGCCTCTGGAACCGTGCAATATCAAGTCTGCGTCGAGGTGATGGGCCGTTGGAATAACATAGATGGCGTTCTTTGACGACCGAACCCGTTATAGAAATGTGGATAATGTTAAACAAGTCAGTATTTCTGTATGAACGACAGTACACGATCCCCCACCAACGCCTTGCGTCTGGGCAAATGATGTAGCATGCATGCACGTTGAGGTGCGCTACTGTTGTGGTTGGTTTCAGACACGCAACAAGGGCCGAAAGATCACTACCTGAAATGACTGCTGCATGAACAAGTCGCGCTCCTTCCAAATACAGCAGTGTCATCGCACCAACGCCTGTTCTTTAGTCTGCATAGCCTTCAGGCAAACAAAATGCTTGGGTTACGCGAAAATCGGCAGTTTGGCAGCACCAATGGGCACCAAAACGTAGGCGGCATACATTTCTGAAACGTCGCATCCGAAACTCGAACCGCAGCTTACAGTGGCCGAAGTTGGTACTTGGGTGCGCAGGCGGTGATCTCGACGCTGGTGTTGCACACTAGCCGTCCCGGTCACTCAACCTGTTGGAGCGGCGGCGCCTCGGGGAATAACGTAGCCTTTTCACTCACTGCACCATGCGCGACGTCGACGTTCCAGGGATTTCGCAAATAGTATCCTTCGCCTCTGGCCGAGCAAGCCGTCGGGCAAAGCCTTCCTTCTAAACATGACTCGAAGTATTGCAGCGCGACACAAACACTCGACAATGCATTTGAACACACCTCCAAAACAACAGGGCACCAGCAGCGGTGCGCACATCCAGAAGTCTCCAAGCGGTGCTCGTCCTGTGCAGACCTGCCACACCTGGTGCCGACAGCGGCACAGCGCAGCACTTCACTGCCGTCGTGTCCACACAGACGCGTTGGTTAGAGGCCATGTATTATCGCCGGCGGCGCCGAATACGACCCCGCCGTGCGCCTCGCACCATCACAGCGGGTTAAGATTATGTACAGTAAAACGAGTCGCCGCGCGCACGCAGACGGCCGCGCCCGTCACGCCCATTTGGCACTTCTGGCGGGCCTCGCGCCGCGGCTCGCAGGCGGGAGGTCGGCCGGCGAGCGGCGGCGCCGCTGCTCGCCGTGAAGGCGAGGTCACACCGGCAGCCGACGCCTCCCACAGCTCGTGCAGCGAGCTGGCGGCGTCGCTCCGCATGCGCCCGCCTCTTACAGCGAGGTCGCGCCGCCGGCCCACGCGCGCCTGTCCGCTAATGCCTACCCGGAGTCGGTAGGATCTCGGCACAGAGCAGAACCGGTGGCAGCCACACCAACGTTCGAGTCGGGAGACCATGGTTCGCGTGGTGTGCGCATGCGCGGCAGGCTCGCAATGTGGTGCCGGCGCGCCACCATCATTTGTGGTTGCGCACTGTGGTGGTGAACGGGGTGTTGTGTCAAACTTAGCTGGGAGACAGTTGCGCGCTACCAGGCAACACCGGGGAACGACATAGTTTGTGAGTTGTGTCACGCACATGGAACGGGTCTTGCTTGCATAGAACAGTGCACAGTTTGTAACATCGATGGTGTGTAATGCGGATGGCTGATGGCCATTGGATGCGGGTCGAATAGCGCGTGGAGGATTGGGCAGCATGACAGATCACACCACTCGCACTTTTTTGAACCAGCACGCACATTCTAGTTACACATCTCTAGGCCCTGTTGGTGCCCCAGAATACCCTCGCACGTCCTCTCAGACCAATCCCATCTCGAAGACAGCCTACAGGTGATACCGTCACTATCTGCAAACAACAAACGTAAAAATGACATTCTGTGACACTCGCCGCGCTCCACTGAGTTGCTACCGCAAACTTCACCCCCAGTCCCGGGTCTGCAGCTCAAGTCCATAGCCTCCCATCTCCACGGTCCTCCGTTGTCACAGCTATGGGGCATTCATGTCGACAAAGGTCCGTGTCCGCCTCACGGGGCCGTCGCCTCAGCCCGCCCCGGCGCGCCTGCATCACAGAGCGCCGGTAGGGGAGCAACGGTCCGGGTCCGCCTAGCTTGGAATCGGCGCCTCAGTCCTGCCCACCGGCGCGCCTGCATCACAGAGCGCCGGGAGGGGCGCACGGTCCGTGCTACCTACATCACTGGGGCCGGCGCCTCAGTCTGCCCCGGCGCGCCTGCATCACAGAGCACCGGGAGGGGCGCACGGTCCGTGTCTACGTCACTGGGGCCGGCGCCTCAGTCCGCCCCGGCGCGCCTGCATCAGAGCGCCGGGAGGGGCGCACGGTCCGTGCCCGCCTGGCGTCTCTGCCCCGGCGCGCCTGCATCACAGAGCGCCCGGGGGGGCGCACGGTCCGTGTCTACGTCACTGGGGCCGGCGCCTCAGTCGCCCCGGCGCGCCTGCATCACAGAGCGCCGGGAGGGGCGCACGGTCCGTGTCTCTCCTGGCGGCGCTCAGTGCCCCGGCGCGCCCCATCACAGAGCGCCGCGAGGGGCGCACGGTCCGTGTCTACATCACTGGGGCCGGCGCCTCAGTCTGCCCCGGCGCGCCTGCATCACAGAGCACCGGGAGGGGCGCACGGTCCGTGTCCTCTGGGGCCGGCGCCTCAGTCTGCCCCGGCGCGCCTGCATCACAGAGCACCGGGAGGGGCGCACGGTCTGTGTCCGCCTCGCTTGGATCGGCGCCTCAGTCTGCCCCGGCGCGCCTGCATCACAGAGCACCGGGAGGGGCGCACGGTCCGTGTCTGCCCTCGCTACGGATCGGCGTCCTTAGTCCCGCCCCGGCAGCGCCTGCATCACAGAGCAGCCGGGAGGGGCGCACGGTCCGTGTCCGCCTCGCTTGGATCGGCGGCCTCAGTCTGCCCCGGCGCGCCTGCATCAGAGCGCCGCGAGGGGCGCACGGTCCGTGTCCGCCTCGCTTGGATCGGCGCCTCAGTCTGTCCCGGCGCGCCTGCATCAGCGCGCCGCGAGAGGGCGCACGGTCCGTGTCCGCCTCGCTTGGATCGGCGCCTCAGTCCTGCCCCGGCGCGCCGGCATCAGAGCGCCGCGAGGGGCGCACGGTCCGTGTCCGCCTCGCTTGGATCGGCGCCTCAGTCTGCCCCGGCGCGCCGGCATCAGAGCGCCGCGAGGGGCGCACGGTCCGTGTCTACGTCGCTGGGGCCGGCGCCTCAGCTCGCCCGCATCCCAGAACGCTGCGAGGAACGCAAGGTAACGCGAGTCGCGTGGGACGTGGCGGCCGTCGCCCAGGGAGCGGGGCACGCCAGCGTATCGCGGCGGGCGGCCTGACCAGGGTGCATCGCCGGGACACCGGCACAGCACGAGCGAGCCCGGACAAGATAATGCCAGCGGCGGCATCCCCCAGGGGGTTAAACTCAACAGATAAAACAGTGGTCCACCAGCGAGCCAGTTAAGAGACACGGTGGGAATGGTGCACGACAGATGGCGCTCCGTGGGCGGCGTCGGCTGACCGGGTGGTCGACGCCCCAACACTGAAACCAACGCTACTATCGACCTCCAGCCGCGTGAGAGACCGGTGGCGTACACCCTTATCCTTCCGTTGGCCACACCCACTCGCGCATTCGCTACGATACGGACGTGCGCTGCACCACATTCGGAAGTGCAACCGCTCTTGAGACGATGCGCCGGGCGACATCCAGAATACATACAGCATTGCCGCAGACAACAGCCGCGGACGGCCAGGAGCCGCACCGGACGCGACCTGGGTCGGCCGCGCGAGGTTACGCCCCATCCACACGCCATTTTACGCCACCCATACACGTCTGGCCACCATGCCCGTCCGCCCATCGTATCGCATTCGCTCCGATCCCTATCCACCTCACTAGTACCCGAGTTTGCTTCGCACTCGCGCCCCCTGAGGCCAGGAAGGTGGTCGACCCACCGCTCGGCCCTGCCGGCACGCGACAGCGGCCACTACGCGCGAAGCGACTGTCCATCCCGCCGTCCAGTGCGCCACGGTCGAGGCGCTAACCGCTGGCTTCCGACGCCGGTGGTTCCCGTCGACAGGGCAGACGCAGTCTTTCCCCAACAGAGGGCGACGGCTCCGTCGCCAGCTGGGAAATCAGCTTTTCGAACACGGCCAGAGAGCGCGAGGCGAGAAGTAAGAACGATGATTTCTAACGCTCGTCGTCGTAAAATGATATCGAAAAATAAGACCGGGAGGCCGAGCGGCGAGCGGTCGGCCGACGACGCGACGGCCGCAGCCAGAGCCGCCGGGCCCCCTCACATCTGCATGGGCTGAGGCTGGCTCTGGGCCGCGTCGGCGCCGCCCGCTCGGTTGCGTCGCTTCTGCAGCAGCGAGTTCTCCGAGTTGGCGATGCTCTTCAGGCTGATCTGGTCGTAGTCGACCCGCATGGTGGCGAGCGAGCGCGTCATTTCGTCCTGCACCTCAGGCCACTGGTCCTCCTCCTCCTTCAGCACCTGGGCCGTGCACAGCGGCGTCTGCGGCACCTCCGCGTATTTCTGCCGGAGAGGTGCGGCAGAGGTCAGACGACCGCCACGACGGCCGCCGTGGCAATGCCGCGACAGCAATGACCGAGTGATGCTAGCAGACAGCCATGCCGAGTTAAAAAAAAATGTCGCGTCCGCACCCACATCACAGCACATCGCTCTCTCATTTCTCCCCCGGTCGTCCATCCGTATGTCCTCAATCAGCTTCCCTTGACTAGACCGCACGCGCTGACAGTGCGTCACCAACCGTGCCGTGCAGTGCTGCCTCGCCGCGCGCATGCGCCGCGTGAGCCGACAGCCAGCGGCGATCCGCCCCGCCCCGCTCACCGCGATCCACTGGTGGCGCATGACCTGCTCGATGGTCGGCCGGTGCTGCGGGTTGGTCTTGAGCATGTCGCGGATCAGCTCCTTGGCCTCCTTGCTGACGTTACGCCACTCGGGGTTGGGGAAGTCGTACTCGCCGGCGCGGATCCGTCGCTTCATGCCCGGCGAGATGGCCAGGCCGTGGTTACTGTAGAACGGCGGGAAGCCGCACAGTCTGCCGGCGGCGCGCAGCGGTCAGGGACTGTTGGGCCGCGGCGACCGGCCCGCCGGACCACGCAGGCCGGCGGCGCCCAGTCCGCTGGACCACGCGGGCCGCCGGTGCCCAGTCCGCCCGACCACGCGGGCCGGCGGCGCCCGGTCCGCCCGGCCACGCGGGCCGGCGGCGCCCGGTTCCCCCAGCCACGTAGGCCGGCGTCAGCCTTGACTAGGACATTATACAGTGGGATTCTGCGCCGCGGTGCGCAGGCTGCGGCCGGCACGGTCAGCTGCCGTCACCAGAGGTCACCGCTGGCACAGGGGACACTGCGCGGCAGAACACGTGCTGTCGGCGACACGAAGCGATCGCCAGCGTCCAGTGAATCGATTAATGGGCGCGCCGGAATGCGATAAACAAACTGGTGACAACTGCAACGGCTAACGGGGTCAGCCTTTGTGTACCTGCACAGCTAAACTTCACATGGCTGGCAGTCCACCAAAGACGTACGGCGTGGCTCAGCATGGTACATGGTATACCATTAGCACCGATAATGGTAGATCATGACAAGTATATCTTGACAGTGACTGCAGCAACACCCAATTCGCTAAAGGTCCACAGAGAATTCTGGGACAGGTCGGGTTCCTACGCGCGATATCATAAGCAATGGTAGCGGTTTACACGTAAAATCATTGTGATGTTTTGACATTGCTTGCAATGCTACCAAAGAGGCCAAGGCCATGCTACGGCCAAGGAACGCGACCTGTAAGTTAATAAACTTACAAAACTGAAACAAGTCATGCTGTATCGTTATAACAGACAGGGCGCACTCTCAACAGCGCACTGACGCCAAACGTGACGACGCAACGAACCTGACATGCACAAAAGTAGCAAAACCCCGACTTTCAACAAGGGGTTACCCAGCAGTTCACCTGCAAACAAAGTATACTACAGCACGCCTCGCAACCCGGGCACCGGGTCAACCGGCACTACACCGACATTGGCTGGGGGCCTCTGTCCCCGGACACCGGGCCAACCGGTACTACACCGGCATCGGCCGGGGGCCTCGGTCCCCGGGCACCGGGCCAACAGACCCTGCACCGGCATCGGCCGACGGCCTCGGTCCCGCCCGACGACACTCACAGGATGTACATGATGACGCCCAGGCTCCAGATGTCGCACATGCGATCGTACTTCTCGGGTCCCAGCACCTCCGGCGCTACGTAGTAGGGCGTGTAGCACGGCGTCTGCAGTGAGTCACGCGCCAAGATCTCCTTGGCGAAGCCGAAGTCGGTCAGCTTCAGCACGCCGGCCTCGCCTGGAAACGGTGGGGATGGGTCACAGGTCAACACCACGGGTCATGGGTCGGCGACACGTGTCAGGGTCACGGGTCGGCGGCACAGGTCGAGGGTCGGCGGCTCGGGTCACGGGTCGGCGGCACAGGTCTCGGGAAGGTGATCCAGGTCATGGATCAGCGGCACTGGTTGGGAGCCGGGGCTCCAGTCAAGGGCCGCGATTTGGGTCACGGACTCAAAACAAGGACCAGGGGCCGGCGCGGTACCAGACGCCCTCCCCAGACAAAAGACAATAGAGGCCAGAGAGAAGAGGATGGCTATAGCGGAAGTCAACCAGTTTTATGGCGAAAACTGCGACTTGCACCCCCTGATAATTGGCACGGTATGGAGTCAAGGATCAAATCTCCCTTGCTTAATCTAGGCTTTCTATCCACCAGTGACGTTAACATCAATCTCCTTCGTACAATTACCCTGTCCCCCTCATTATTTGCTCCACGCATTAAAAAAGAGCAGAATGACGCCTCGCTTTCTGCAACTCACCACAGCTGCGGTGTGCGTTTCTTGCGCACAGGGTAACTAACCGGAAGCGTGTCTCCATGTGGGACTGTGGCAAGTGGCTGAAAAGTTGACGTTTGTTGGTATAGCATATACAAATAACTTGTATATTCCAAGCTTGTGGCTTCTTAAAGTGACATATTTGATTGCCTAAGAGAAGCGAATGCAAGACTACCATACCAAGTTATGAGGGCTCGCTTTGTTTCAGGAGTAAAGAAGACAAGGACAACGAGCGGGTGCACTGCGACATTGCGCAATGCACCCACAGCCCCAGCCAGATGTCATTTGGTTTTGCTGTGAAGAGCTTACAAATCGTGTAAAATCCTTAATTATGCTTCTGATGCGTGTGAGAAAACACAGTGCAATACTTATGGTAAGCAAGGTTTTGCAATGTCATTGACAGGACGCGCTGTTCCTCATACGGCAGCCACTAGCTTGACTTGACTGGTTCGAGGAGCCCACGGCCACTGGCAGCATCAAAATCATGTTCCTTGCTGGATGCCGTTCGACAGAAGGCGCAAAGGATGTTCCTAGCACGAATCTCAAATGTTGAACAAATACCGACAGTAGAATCTAGCTGTAATTTCATCCGCATATTGTACAAAGTGATAAGCTATGCAAAAGCAAGTTACGATATAATTAAAAACTGAGGGTTTTATCAAACTAAATTGATGTATACTAACATGCATCGAGGATACCAGGGGGATATTGTAAAATACCAGGCAAATACTGCCAAATATTCATTGTAACCAAGAGGCCTGGGTAGCTGCGGAGCGTATTGGTCGTTCGCCGCGACTGGTAGGCGATGATACTGATACTTATCTGTTGATTTGATCTGATGATGATTTGAGATTTTGGGATGCATCGACATCAAAGGTCGTATTGCGCCCATAACGGCTATTTAGGGACGTGCTATGTGTTCACTAGCAGGGAGTAACTATAGCTGAAAATGATGTCTCTAGGAAAGAGAAACAACCGGTTTGAGTGTAATAATAAAGAGTCGTTTCCCGACATGTCACGGTAAGCCAAACGTCGCTCGTCGTCCAACATGACTGATTCGTTCTCCCTTGAAATGTGAACAGGAGTGACGCACATTAACTGCCACTGGCGCAGTCTTTCGGGCATTGAGGTCTCCCAGCAATACACAAGTGATCATGTGTTGTACAGGTATGGCAAATTCGCAGACGGCACAGAACGACTTCTTCACACCTAGCCACTCGCAAGCTAGACGGCCAGAGGCCTAACGCTGACTTAATCGTCCTTAACTTGCTGTTACTCTCGCTGTTCCAGCCGTGTTACCATTTTTTTTTTCACGGCAGTTGCGATAGCTGGGTAGAAGTTCTTCGCTGGGAGCGAAAAAGAACTTGTGCAAGGCGCACGAGTGGCCAGGAGCGGATACAGGATTTCGTCAAGGGAGGGACCACGCCTAACTGTGGTGCCCCTGGAACTTGGTGCTGCCCCCCCCCCTCCCCATACGAAGAGAAGGGGGGGGGGGGGGCGTCCGTAAAAGGACGGACGGCTCCGTCCGTAAAAGTCGCTACATATTCTTCATATGAGGAGATAAACTCCCACGCCCTAACCACCCCAGAATCGCACGTGGTTTGCTGTTTTATGGCGCGTCCACTGCAGATGGTCATGCAGCAGAATCGCACGTAATAAGCCCTCGTTTTTCTATCTGTGCCAACGTTTCGTGCACATAGCTTCCAAGGGGGTGTTATCAGATGACCAGAAAAGAGCAAATCCTTTCGTATGTGACCATTCTCTCAGTATAGCTTTGGGCCGAAGCCGAAACTGGCAACATACAGTTTCTCCGTTCGTCTCTGAAAAGTCTTTTCACCTGTCCTGAAAATACTCCCGGGTGAGGAGGTGTTTTGGGAACTGTGCCAATTTACAAGCATACCTCATCCCAAGCACTTCCCTTCGGAATGCGAGCGGTAGTTCATTGACTCCGCCAGGAGGCTTGGAGCTGGATACGTTCTGAACGTACCAGTTGCTATGTGCAGTACTGCTTGACGCGTGGTGTCTAAACGATGTTTGGAGGAAGTGTGCGCACGGTCATATACGAACACCCGTAGTCAAGTCTAGATCTAATGACTGAACAGTACGAAAAGAAAAGCGTTTACCGATCTGCTCCGTAAGATGTCCGTGCCGCGCATTTCAAAATATGCAGTGCCTTAAACACTTGTCACGTAGAATGATACGATGCTCCTTGCAGGTTAAATGCTTATCAAAATGCCTCCCCACAAACCGTGCCACCGTATTGCAAGGGATCGCCTGTCCGTAAAGCCTAAGCCCCATGTCGGGACACTGACGCTGGCGTAAGCAAAAATGGATGGAAGCTGTCTGAAGTCGAAAACCGCAAACCGCTGATCATGCTCCACCTTTCAAAGCGAGTCACAGCTAAATGATCAATGATCAAACGTCCATCACAGCTGGCGTGACATGGACGTGGTCGTGGCGGAGCTGCATCAGATGGCGGGATGATCAACGAAAAACAAGCGACAAATCACCTGGGGAAGACTGCCTCAGACATCATTTATCATGAGGGCAAACAACGCAACCCTTACAACGCTGCCCTGGGGTAAGCCGTCCTCTTGGGCGCCGGAACCAACACAACTTTGGTTTCCACCCGCGCCTGAAAATCACCGCGGTCAGTTTTTTCTTAAAGATTTCACCGTTGTGGTCTGGAACCGAGAACTAGTCCGTTCTGGTAATGCAACCATATGCGAGTAGTGATCAGTACTAAGGAAGTCGTCTGCAACCGACTATGTCAGATTCACCACCAGCTGGGGGCTTACAAGACTAGTCCAGCGCCGATGTCTGACCTGACCTGACGGCAAGGTAACGTGAGTTCGGGTCCCGGTGCTTAAAAGACAGATTGAATCATCACGTAAAATTTTTGCCAAAAAGCTCGCTCACCAAGTGTCATTTCCGCCGCCGGGAAGGGCATGCCAGAAGGTACGTAAAGCGAGCAGGCAGTTATAGCACGGCGGTCCTCAGTACCTCAGATGCAGCAGCTTGCAGGTAAGGGTATAAAACGACGCATTGGACCCAAGCGTTGCGATGCGCAGTCAACTCCGCAGTGTGCGATTGTGTCAGATGGCATATCCCTACGCATTACCGTACAGCCCTGGGTACCCAACTGAGAACCAGGTGCTAGTTTAGTCTCCTGCAGGCAGGTATGGCCAGACGGCGCCCATTCAGAATGACTCCTAGATATTGTGAACTTGTTGGGCCCTGACTTGTAAATTCACACACCCCAGCAGTTCCACTGGACACTATCTGTCGTGGAGCTGAAAAGTGAGGAAGCCCGCTACGCCCCTAGCTCTCCAGCACCGTAAGGAGAAACCGCAGTCAAAATACCTGGAGGGGGACGCGTTAGAAAAATCAAAGTTCTGAGCCACATCCTACGACCCGACGCGGTTTAAATGCGCTAGTCTGCGCCTGTTGCAGGACCGGATCCCTGGTTCTGGGCGTTACGGCCGATTCCATAGAGCAGCACTCCACTCTGGGCAGAATCCTAGGGCTTCCTCCGCCAGATGGAGACGGAGAACCAGCTGGGGGACGCCTTGTGTCAGTGTGCCCAGTCCTCGGTGGCGGCGGGGAGGGTCCGTGGGTGGGGCCCTATCAGACATGTGGTGACCAGCGGGAGGCTCCCTGGCCTTCTGGACTAAGGGGTAGTGCTAGGGGAAGGGCTTCCTGCCCATCTCAGACGAACGGTTGGACGCCTTGGCCCCTTCTTTTAAAGCCAAGAGCGATCACTGGGCACCGCGGGCGCGCCTGTCAGCCTCGTGACGCTCCAACGCTTCAAGCGCCCGTCCACATGCGTTCGCTAGTGGTGTCGGAGGCGACGAGGGCAGCGAAGCACACGAAGCAGACGCGGGCGAGGAAGTGCCAGACGCAGAGGGCGATGAAGCCCGCAGGCCATGGCCGCACCGGACCACCGTCCAACCCTCCTCTATAGCCGGGGACAGCAGCGCCACGGACGCCAGCAACATGACAGGTGCCGACCGGCCGGCGCCGGGGGGGGGGGGGGCCAGGGGCTTCCCCCGGGGTGCCGGTGGCCGCCATCGCCTGGTCGATCGGTGAGGAGCGGGCGCGGACTGCCGGCTTGGAGTCCGGTGTTCGTGCTGAAGGTGCAACTGAGAGCCCGAACGACCTCAGGTGTCCCGCAAACTGAACGATGGTCACTTTCTCCATGACGTTGTTGTGCGGTAAGGCAGTTCTTACTTTCCACGCATACGAGATCTTGGGATGATTCGCGTCAGACAGGTCTCTGGCTTCTCAGAAATATATGTTTTGGGAGGTTTTTTTTCGAGAGCACCACCTTTCCCCTGGCGTACGACGGGCAGGTACCGTCAAACTATCGGGGGCGCGTGGAACCCGTCGAGCTCTATTGAATTCATCGGGGAGCTGTCTGAGTCCGGCGTAGCCGCCGGACTCCGACAACTCCTCGATGAATTCGCCCTCACGTTCATCGTGAAGGTCAAAACAATTCACGACACTAAGACTTTGTTGTGTTTCCCGTTCTCGTAACGAATACTGCAAACGACCTCTTTCGCTTCCTATGTACGCTTGACTGCTGGCAAGTTCTACCTCGATGTTACCATCCCCCAGCTTGTCACACATATCTCCGAACTTGCCGCAGCCGTTCCGTCGTCGGAACAGTGACAGGGTGGAAAGTTTTACATCTGGGTGGGAGAACACATGCATCCGAGGGCAGGGAGGTCCAAGTCCCTCTCGCACCCGGGCGTTAGCTCTGTCCAACCCCCCTTCCGGGGCCAGGCGCTTTTGAATTTATAGACGCCATGCCATTTTAAGCAAGCATTTGGCCTGGGGCTTCCCATCCACCTCGGGGGCCAATCCGGGGCCATCCCATCACTCTCTAGGGAGGTAGTCACCGCCAGGCCTACCCCGGTACTATGCGGGGCGAACGACGCCTCCCACGCGACCAGGTGTGACCGGGGAGACCTCTTCCCGTCCTGACCGTGGTTCAGCGCCGCCGCCCCGGGGACCCTCCAGCCACTGCGCGCAGCCGGGCGCCCTAGTGGAAACTCGGGTTGGGCACCCGGCATGCAGCGCAGGTGGCAGGACGATTGACCCGGATGGAGCTCTACGGGTTCCAAGCGCCCCGGATATCCTGGCCAAAGTGGAGTGTTGGGACGCGCCATGACTGACCCGTGCGCCGCGCCCCTCGGCCACCAGGATCCGATCAACCCGGGGACGCGGGCGAGGGGCCACGGCGACCCCGATAACACGGAGGAGGACGGGGACGAGGGCGAGGGGCCACGGTGACCCCAATAACATGGATATGAGGAGTCGCGAATGGGCGGGATGCGGAATGTGGGTGACGTGGAGCGAGTGGGCGGGACAAGGAGCAAGAGCTCGCGTACCGGCAGGCCGCTAGGCCCTGAAATGAACAGCCTGCGTTGTTTACTCGCAACCGAAGCTGGGACCCACGGGGGCGCCACTCTCCTGCACCGGCCGAAGCCGGTGCCCCTGCGGGGGCCGGTGCTTATCTGTTGGACGCTCCTAGCTTTCATTTCTACTGAGCCATCATACAGCGTTGTACTCTATGCCAAACTATGCCAAACAAGGTAAGTCAAAATTTGCGCACTGAGCGTGACAAGGCCAGGGGCCATCCATTCTCGGGATGCACAAAGTCCAGTTCGGAGAATCGAAGAACGCGGCCGCGCGGCGCCCCCACCTTTGGTGGTATACAGCAGGTTCTCCGGCTTGAGGTCCCGGTGCGCGATGTTGACCGAGTGCAGGTGGTACACGGCCAGACAGATGGAGTGCACGACCTCGGCCGCCTCTGGAACGCACGCGCCGCGGGCAGGCACGGGTCAGTCGGACAGCACGCGACTTACAAACCAACGCACGGCGTGCGCGGAGGTGGCTGACAGTTCACAGGCCTCAACACCAACTGATCAAGTTTTGTCAGTTTCTGGAATACCTTCACGGTCACGAATTGCGATCAGTATAACGCCTTGTGCGGCAAAGGAAGAGCATGACAACAATGGACGTGAGTTACCAATCGTCATCAAGCAGATGTCATAAGCTGATGGAGCCGGATATCTTAGGCCACTGGTGACAATGGCTTTGACCAGTGCGCTGGAAACGGTCCGAAATTCTGCCTTCTGCGATTGCGCAACGTTGCAGTAAAACCCATCTGAGCAAACCACTTGCATGTAGATGCTGACAAACAGGATGACATATATTTGAGGGGGTGTTACCTCTAATCACTAAAAACCGCACGAATCTGCGATCAGTGGTTGCACAAAACATACAGACTGCTTCGCGATATCATTCAGCAAGCAGGCATTGCGGTGAAACGACGCCTGATTGTCGGCACATTCCAGCCCCAGCACACAGGCAAGTCTGGTCACACTTGAGACCCGGTACCGAGTTCGTACACGTACGTACCTCTCTCTGTGAACGCGCCGCTGGGCCTGTCTTGAATGCGCTGGAACAGCTCACCACCCTCCATGCTGGAACACGGTCACCGACTGTGAGACCACAATCACGAGACAGCGCCGCTGGGACGACCAGTGGCCCTCAGGTCAGCTGGGAGATACGCAGCCTACATTAACGGACAGCATGCGATCGATAGCCCAGTCGCACTTCGACCCAGATCGCGGTCCATACCATGAATGAAAGCGGATACAGCGTCGGACAGCGGTGAGTTGTGTCTTGGGGCATCATGGCACCCGCATCAGATGCGGATGACCACAGGCAAACCGATGACACCACACACTAAAACACACAAGACAACCACTTGCGAGTTTAGCAACCTGCAGCCCATACACCAGAGCGCATTACGATCAGGCGTGCTCGCACGACACGGAGCAGCCAGATCGCGGGACATGTGCGACCAACGACGTACCACTCCATGACGATGAGCAGACACCGGTTAGTGCCCTGCATGTTCTCGTACACCTCGTGGATGTTGACAATGTGTGGGCAGGCCGAGGCGCGCCAGTGGATGTCCACCTCGCGCCGCGACTTGGGGTTGTCGCGCAAAATCTGCCAACGTGGGATCGGGGTCACTCGATGCTGGCGACGCTCTGTGTGTTCATGTGGGTGACAGCAGTCATGCTGTCACAGGTGTGTATAACAGATATCACCGATCGTAATCATGGATACCCAATAGGATAAAAATATTCCATATAGGGACATTATTCAGCCAATGAAATATCAGAATTTGAGACATATACAGACCAACGCATATGCAACACTTGTATTTGGCAACACTTTTACATTCCTAGCAAGACCAAGGTCCAACTAGCTGGAATCAAAACATTTATCAAATCAGACCATTTATTTAGCAAGCAAACAGGATCTATCAGGCAAATCACCACAAGCTGAACCTTGCACATGTTAGCAGGATCCTGCTTTTTCAAGTTGGTCTACAAACCTTAAGTGCATATTTCTTCCCTGTTGCCTTGTGGATACATTCCAGAACTTTTCCATTTATTCCAAGTCCAAGGACATTGCTGGATAATGTGTAATCATCACTGATTGCATGCTTCTTGGGCACAAGCGCCCCCCGCACCGGAAAAGTCACGTTCATTATGTATCAGTACTCAGCTATCTGCACCTCCTCTCCCTGAAACCAACCACATGCAGTTAGGACAACCACACAAAGTAATTTGACTTAGCTTGGGTAATAATGCTTAGGTTATGGATGCTAAGGTTTTCTGTTCAATGACAGATGCTGATTTCCACTAGCAAGTTTCTCTCCATCCATATACTCAAAATATGTCATCAATAGCTTTCAGCTTCGCCACCTCCATGCTGGCAAAGCCCAAGCGCCCTTGTGTGGTGCTGTACAGTAGGTGTTTGTGCAATGTTTATGATGCTTGATGCTTGAATTTAATAATTATCTAGAATAAAACACATAATGTATCATCATATGCTTCTAGCCTAGCCATCAGTGCTTGTGTAATTCTTAGTACAGTAACATGCATTACATGTCAGATTATGGGAGCTTGATCTTTACATTGTTTTGATGGCTGTTGTCTTAGTTATGTGTACAGGACTTCAGACCATTCTCATTTTGTCATGTGCCTTCATTAACAAAGAAAGAATGTCTTGCTTGACCTTACCCACTCACAACCATGAGCACAACTGAAAGTATTCAGCTTTTTCAACATACCCAATGCTTGCTGGATAATGTAATTTAACCAGTAACTACCAGGATATTGAAGGCCAGTCCTTCCAACATGAGAACTATCCATTCAGAACAGTACTCTTCTAAAATAACCCAAACAGCAGGGCTGCCATGCATCACACATATGAATGTTATTGTGATAATGTTCTGTTATCTTCTGGTGGCCTTTACCAGTGAGCAGTGAACAACTGGATCCATCCAATTATTGCTGCAGAAAATCAGCATTTTTCTTAACTTAAGTTTGTGTTCACAGATATCTATGTAATTATAGATAAGAGCATGTGAGATTGGCAGCTCAGTATCAGGCTAGGCTGGTCTGGGCTGGGCACACTTAAAAGCTTTGTTGAAAAATATATGCCCTGATCCAAACTGGACTAAGCTCAACCAGGATGGCAAGACCTGAAAAAGTCCTCCATCAGCATAGATTAAATTGGAACAGCCTAGCTTGGCTTATCTGGCCTTTTGTTTCCACAGTTTATGAGCAGTATACTCTGGTCCATGGGGACCTTGTGACAGCATGGAAAATACCCTAAGGTACCATACTGGTATAAGTACCAGCATCAACCTATAGCCTGACCACCTGGGCCACTGAATGCCACCATATGCACAAATGTTTTCATTACTTGAGGAAAGAATGTCAAATGTTTAAAAGGAGTGTTCCACAGCTGCATGGCATTTTAAACCAAAATAATCATTTTGAAGATTGTGTGGTGCTTGCTGCCCTTCTCCAGATGTGAAACACTCTAGTTTCTGAGCTACACATCCACAAAGATGTGCAGACAATTTCAAGCATGTTACTTCAAGACCATTCAGGCATGCCTGACACAATAGTAATGTCATTCAAATCCTGATGTGCTACAGGTAATACAGCATTTTCAAGGCCAAGAACATTGTTGTCAGGCTGTTCAGATCTGGCATCCTAGCCAGATGTCAGTGAGCACAATCTCCACTCATAGTAAATGTTAAAGGGCTCTGTCAGTGATGAGCAGGCTGTGCAAGTTCCAACAAAAATTGTGTTCTGTGCTAAATGATATCAGAAGTTAAAAATGGTGGCTACTTTAATGTAGTGCTTGTTAATGTGTAAATAGTGCTTGTCCATATCCTGCCAACATCCTCAAATGTGAAATACTCCCTTATTATGATATTAAGTTCATGCATATGGAGCCAACAACTATGTGCATGCTGTATAATCACTTCTTGTTTTATACAGCATTCTGAAGATGACCACATTGTGGTGTTCAGACACAATTGCATAAAAGCAAGATTCCATGCACAGTATCCATTTTAATCTCCTAACAGCACTTATATCATGTATCAACAGCCATTGCTTGTTAACAACCACTTATTTTGACATCATATTAATCACCTCAACGATGTCAGTGTGACACCTCTATGTTCACCATTTCTTGCAAGTCTAGTCACCCACCTGCCTAACCATGTCAGTTTCATTGCTAGGCCGGCTGAATGTGAGGCATGTAGCACATACAAGTAAACAAACACCTGGAAGTATGAATAGAGCGGACACTGCTATCCAGTCCAAACTTCACAGCCACTTCAATGAGCGTAGGAACATAAGCCAATTAGATAGCGTGCAGCACCGAACACACCAGACCCCGCCCACCACAAATTTCATGAGGTTATCAAACCTACCACAGTATAACAATTTAGCAAGGCTGAGAGCCCATTTCACCAAGATAAAGAAGAGGACACAACAGACCGACGGAAGACGACGCAATGTTTTGCAACTCCGATTCAAAGGAAAAGAATCGCGCATCCGCATTCAGCCCAATGCTGTCATAGTGATGCGGCGATATACACGGCGCCACATATGAAGCCCATTTATATGGCTACCAATTTGGTAGCATAAGAACTTTGTAAAGCGGATGTTTTTTCTTTGACCTGGCTGAATTTTATCGAAAAGTGTAAACATTCACGAGCAGTAATTATTTCGGTGAGAATAGATTTAAGAAAGATATGTAATTAAAAGTGCAACTGCCTCTTTTAATGTTTTCAACCAATTTCCCTGCTTGACAGCGTGATTTTCCCTTTACGTCTCATTACTGGGTCACGGATGAACCGATGGTGGGCGGATTCGGTATTCTACAACCTTGGCAGGCCGGCACCAGCTTGGCTGGCTCGCACTCGTAGGCTGCTGGGGGAGGTCGCCCGCCGCGCCAGATCTCGAGTGGTGGGGGCGCGTGCTGGGAGGTGGACGCGTGCGACGCGCGGGGGCACGCTGGACGCTGACGAGGGGCGTGCTGCTTGCGTATTGTATTGCAGTGCCCTTGGGCAAGTTCGAGGGGCTCGGGAGTCGCCGGCTCTCAAACTGAATAAGCAAAAATGCCGGTGTTTCATACGAAAACCATCGAAAGCATATTGGAACCAGTAGCCCATCAGGTAAGCTCATGAACGGCGCGCTTCTTCTGTTGATCGGGCGCCAAGCGGTACGATTTTTGCAGAGGGAAATCATACGCTTAGGTCAAGAATAGCTATTAACGCTGTATGCATTCTCGATTTAGCGACGCAAATGGGATATAAGCGTTTGTCGTGACGCCAGCGACTATTACAATATTTTGTAAGCTCAGCATGCCTACCAATCCGTGCAAGTCCTGGTTGTACGCATTAGCGTCAGTCGCAAACCCCGTAATTCCTATTCTGATTATGGGGTTGCCGATCCGTATTCTTGGTTTGCCTTGCCGATGGACGGTTAGCCGCATCAGCATCCAACGCGCGGGTCGGGATGCCACCGGTGTTGTCCACCTTCGTGTGCCATAGACTTAGACGATTAATGATTTCCTATGGAGCGCGGTTGGATCCCTAAGAATCCCTGGATAGTAGCCCCCCTGGGGCTCCCGTGGAGCAGCGGTCGCATTTCGTCACAATGTCTTCGTTGTGTTGTGCGTGAAGCCCTCAAATGATCAGGCGCGTTGGAATGAACAACGTTGAATTAGACGCCCTTCAAATGCCCTTGCTATGTATGCCAGTCCTTGCAGCCCGGTGCCCGCCTGTGATTTATCTGGAAGTCGTTAACGGCCAGCTACCGGAAGTTGTCCATGCGTATCGGCTCATACACCTGTCCATCGCAGTGATCCAGCGTGCAACCCGGTCTCTTGAGATCAATGTTTCTTGCCGATGTATGGGATTGGTAACGTCCCCACAGTCCCAACAGGTGCTCGGGTGTATTGGCAGGTCTGCAAATTGTACAGCTGCATGCGGTGCGAATCTGATTGCGTGAACACCATGATGTGGTGTAAGAAAACGCTCGTGCATTGAGTTTACAGTTCATTTGCATTGTAAACTGTTATCAACACAGTTGCGTGCGTGTCACGAACCTTTGGGTAGCCGCCGGCCAGTCTGCGTGGACTCTTGTGTTTGCCATAGAAATGCATAGTGCAGGGTCGTAGTTTCGCAGAATGAAGGGGGGTGACGGTGAGGGCGGAACAGTGAAAAATGTCCCAACCTGTCCCTAAAAAGGCCAACAAACAGGTTTCTCTCCGACTTTTGTCCACTTTTCCCCTTAGTTGGGGAGGGCGGAATGAAGCCCAATTGGGGGGCTTCATTCCGCTGATACTAAATTTGAGGGTGGGTGAGCGAAAGCTGAAGCTTACTAGGAAACTACAACCCTGACATAGTTATATGTCTGTGCGACAGTAACTTGAACGGAAGAAATACGACCTTCGAAAAGACCCTCATTTAGCCTTAAAGGGAGCGCTCCACATTTGTATGGGGTTTTGAACTGAAATACCATCTCGAAGTCCTTTTGATGCAGCTCACAGCCATGCCCTTTTTTAAGACCCAAGGCCCCCTGGTTCCTGGGCTTAAGGACCGCAAAGATGTGGGGAGTATTTGAAGGTCACCTTGGCATTTATGACATTATAATGCCATTCAAATTTTACCACTTATTAAGCCATGTAGAGATCAATGCCAATAAAAATATAACGGCTGGGTCATTCATATCTGGTGTTCGTGAGCACGACTTGCAGACATAACGGCCGTCAATTGGCTCCCAGTGAATGTTGTGTAAGGCACGATGATGTCATCAAACAATGACGTACCTAAGAGTACATTTACCAGAGGGACTGTGTCGTACTGTGTTGAACTGTGTTATACTGTGTGTGAGTACTGTGTTGTCTAGAGCAGTCTTTTCTACTTAAAAATGTAACAACGGTTATGAATGAGCTTGTTTCATCATATCTGATGCGTACTCCAATGACTTCAGATTTGAAACATTCCCTTTAAATGGAGTGTTCCACATTTGCTTAGGGTTTTTAACGGAAATAACCATCTTGAAAATAATTCGGCGCAGGTCACTGCCCTGCCCTTCTGAAGATTTAAACCCATCTAGTTGCTGAGCTACACGCCCGCGAATATGTGCAGACATTTTTTTGCACACTATTTCAAGATCACCCAGACGTCCATGACGTCATAATAGCTTAATTCGGATGCCTCCATTCCACTGGTCATGCGGCGATCGAGGCCAAGAAAAAAAGGTATCGACCGTCCATTTCTGGTATTCGTGAGCACGATTTTAAGATATAACGGCCGTCAATTGGCTCTCAATCAACGCTGTGTGGGGTACGATGACGCAATCAAACAATGATGTGCTGAGGAAAATTCCACCTAAAAGTATACCATTAGTTATAAGCGAGCTTATCGCATCATATCTGATGATTGCTTCTTTATCTTCAAATGTGGAACATTCCCTTCAAGCCTTTGAAAAGCCTATGCACAAAGTCACGGAAAATTGAGCGCATTTTAAAGCTGTCTCTTACACGTAAGTTATGCAAACTTAGCGCAATATAACTTTGAGTATCATATGCACGCACAGCACGTGCATGCCCGTTTGTCATTCGTGTATGGCCAACGAAGTCAAAAGTCTTTCATGGCCGCACCGGACGCTCGGGTCTTCTTCGGCGTCGGATGATTTCATCGACCTCGGAGTAAATGCCAGATTCATGCTCTTTGTTAAAGGATATTACTAAACTACGTATCACATTGCAGTTACCTTTTTGACTCGCTTGTTCCTGCTTGGTGGGGTAAATACGCCCTGAACGGCATTCATGACATTTTGCGCCGCGTCGTCTTGCCTAGTGGTTCTGAAGCTGATGTCTGGTCGCCAAGAAGACTTATCTCCCCACAGTTAGTGCGAGGCTATTGCCAACTGTGGCTCAACGTTGATAAAGGTATAAGTCCCCAAAACACAGTTGCGAAGGCCATTAGAGTTTAAGGCTACATCGGGCCAAATTTTGAAGTTCACCTGCAATAAGCCCGCTAGACTGTGGTGTCATGAATAAAAATGGTCATGTTTCGTGCCAACGGGGACTTAAAAAGTCATGCAATCACACGCCCCCACAGGGAATGCGTCAGCAGCAGCCATCCAATCCCACCATCACTGATCCCTACAATTGTCGCCTTTGTTCGCCTGTTTGTACACTTATTCAGTCAATACGGTGATCGTGGTATTCACTTCTTTCGCTGATCCATCTAGATATATCTGAGGGCTCAGTTGACCAGTTCGCTGATCAATGACATATATTGGGGATGAATGCGGAATGTTGAATGCTGAATTTTTGCCCTTGACCGGCCTCGCGAACACACTGCCACTCACGCACGCAGCAGCCAGCTGCTGGCATTAGAAGTACGAAACTGAGCGTAGCCGGCGATCCCGGTTAGAAAGCATTACTCGAGTGAATGGCTGAATATAATGGTGTGCTGCGTCGAGCATATCGCGCCGCCGGATGCTGACGGGCGCGAGCTACGCAGCATGCACAGTGCTGCCCTCTTGCGAATGTAGAATTAACGCCCGCACGACGTGCACAGGCTCTCCCCCCTCCACACTGGCGTCTTCTTGCTTGGCCACTACTCGGTCCGGTCCGGTTTGCTGGCGTCTCCTGCAGAGCAGTGTGGGAGCATGATCCCGAGAACCAAAGACGCCCGTCCCGCATTACAGCGGAGCACTGCGGCGCAGTATCGCCCTCCCGACATCGATGAGTTGTTATCGGATCACGATTGCGTGTTGCGCAATGGGACGGCCTGGTGTTTTCGTCGGCGGCGTGGGATAGCAATCATAGCAATCGAGATGGGCGTAATTAATGCAATGGTGATGTCCTTCGCTCGAATGATCTGGCAGCAGACATGTGTGGTGACACCTTCTCTGTGGATTAGGGGTGGTTTCAGAGCGGCACTCTCCACCTTTCCACTTTTGTTCCAAAAACGGGTGGGGGAGGAGCTCTAACATCTAAAAGAAACATTTTCAATGCATTTTTCTTATTGGCATTCATTGTTTGCCATTAAAGTGCGCACGCGAATAAATTCCACTATCCAAAAATTGCGGCATACACGTAAAAATATTTGCGTTGCTTTGAGAACACGAGATGTTACACACCATGCAGGCAATTTTGCAAAGCGTACTGAAACAGGACTTCCAGTCAAAATGTTGGCTGTCCCTCTCGGTAGTAAAATCCTGCATGCACCCCCGGATGGTTTCCAAGGGTTTGATAAGTGGCGGAACCTTTTTAGAGTGCGGGAAGAAAGCGAAGCCGGTTTACAAGTTTTTCATTTTTTTCTCACGCAACATCGTAAAGTCGACGTGAAGTCAAACTTTATCAAAGCTCGGTTGACTGCCCCTCCCCATTTTCTGACGCTCCCAGTGAGAACTCCTGTCGAGACCCACTCGAGCTGGGACCACCTCCCTACGAAGACCCCATGTGCGGTTCACGCCTGATTCTATGTACATACCTGCGGCGTTATACGCACACCGAACCGCTCACACCTTATGTGTGGTGCACGCCCGATTGTATGCACATACCTGCGGCGTTATACGCTCATCGAGCCGTTCACACCTTATGTGCGGTGCACGCCTGATTCCATGTACATACCTGCGGCGTTATACGCACACCGAACCGCTCACACCCGATGTGCGGTGCACGCCCGATGAGATGCGTCCCTTCATTATCGTGGTTTGTTTCTTAGATCCTCTGATCTCATTATAGCCCCGAAACATCCGGACCTGTTCATCGGACATTCGCGAACCGAGGACACTTGTGAAAGTCTGTCAGAAGTCAGGCCTCTCCAAAATGGCGGCACCACCCGCTGATTCCGAGATCCGGTGTCGGACGCCGCCCAGTGATGCAGGCCAGATACGCTGCCTCCAAAAGGAGCGGACTTCATCAGCACGTCATCACCGCGTGCGAGCGCGCCGCCTCCCCGGCTATCTGTGATCGGGAGTTCCGCGCGCCTTTGCCGGGACGCCAGGCGGCGCGCGGTGTTCGGCTGGTTAGCTGAGGCGCGGCGACGCGGCTGGGACGCAGCTGGTCGGCAGTCATGTCGGCGCCGTTGCCACGCGGCCAGAGTGGTTGTTGCCGGCGCGCTGGCCAGCCTCCGTCCTGGCTCCGGCG